TCTTCTAGTAACTTCAGTGTGTCTTGAGCCTTGGCTCATAACAGAAGGAACACATCTGAATATGCAGATCTAGTAACAGTCTGCAACATTAGGTCTGTTTTGTAGCTCTGTGAAATGGTTCCCTATCTTGCTGTTCCCACAGATGATTGTGTAGTATTCATGGGCACAGTAAGGCTATACAGACAGACCCTCTGCTACACGGAGGTGGTGCTGGAGCTGCTCAATGTGCATTTTGTTAATTGCTAATGAATTACATAGAAATAATTGTGTGTAGCTAATACCAGTTTGCACTTTCCCCATCAATGCTCCTTGCTCAGGGAAAATTCCTGCCAGGATTTTTTGTGCTGCAGAAATAATTCTAGTGTTCAGCCTATGAGGTTTTTTTTTTTTTTTTCTAAAAGGAGTAACAATGATGGATACCAATCTGCTGTCATTAAAGATGTGATGTTACTTAACCTTTTTTGTGTCTCCCCACATCTGTTGCACTTTACACCCAGCTGTGAGCTGTTGTCCATGCTTAGCTGTACAGTTTAAGCAGTTTTAGTCCTCTGATTTGCTGCTGCTAATTTGTTGGTTGGTATGGTTACCACTGTGTGAAACCTCTCCTGCAAATCTGGTGGCCAACACTGTACTCCTGTGAGTACATTTTTGTTATTATGTGACTGTTCACTGTGAATAAATGAGAGTCTGGGATGCCTGGGTGACAGCTCTACATATAGCATTAACATAACACTTTCCACATACCAGACCCTCTGTGCAGGGAGTTCCATACTGCAGGATATTAATTCTCTCTGTCACTGCATTTACAGTGACACAAAAGGGCAGTAATGTGGCTAACAAAGAATTTGTGTCCTGGTTTATGCTTAAACATTGAAAGCAGCTGTTTGTTTCCCATCATCAATACCTGGTGATGCACAGGAGGTACAGCAACACTCATAGTGCTGCACAGGCCCCTTACAAAATGTGTCTGGCCTTTAGCATGGGGAGACTTTCAGCTGAGAGGAGACAGGTATAGGTGTCTCCTTAGTTTATGTCTGTGAATTACAGAGAGAAGGGAGAGCATACCAAATAATCATGTTTAAATAAATTGTTGTCCTAGGATTTTTGGTTAATATGACCCTGCCTGAAATTTAAGGTGTGAGAACCAGAGAGCTGTAATTGTGTCCCAGTAGATTCTCCTTACTGCCACTTCCACCCTGCTGCATCGAGCCATTTCCAACTGATGCATACCAGCAGAAGTTGTTACACTCTGTTGAAGAAAGAAAAATTTGGCATGAGTGCCCCAGACTATTGAAGCATGAACTCAAGCCCTGCATTTTATATGCTTCTGCCTCAACAACCATTGATGGTGATGGTATTGTGCATAAACAGAGAAATGAGATCATCTTTCTGCAAGGAGACAAGAAATTTTTGGGCAATAGAAATAAAACCTGCATTTTATATAGTAGGTTGGTTATCACTAAAAGTAAATGAGATTATATAAATGAATCTCCATAAAACACTCTTATTTTGCAAATGATGTCTCTATTTTGCTGCAGATGCAGCCCTTCCTGCCCAGTATAAACTTTCAAATGTCAGATCCAGGTCATTTTATCAAACCAGAGCAAAATACGTATTTTGAAGTTAGCTCTTAGCACAGGCATTCGTGAAACCAAATATTTACAGAGCTTAAGTCCACTTACTGCAATTAATGTGCAATTTCCTGAGCCTGTCAACTTCATAGGCTGCTGGCCTGATTGCTGGGTTGATGACAGTCGGGGAGGCCAGTTCAGGCCATCAGTCTAACCATGTCAGTACTTTTGCTGCCTACATAGCCAAAAGGGTTTTCATTCTGCCTTGGACCCAGCCTATATACTCCACAGCCATGAAATGCTGCAGAGCAGCTGTCTTATTCCTCCTTCCAGGAGATCAGCCAATATCTTTATCTAAATATTCAAATACCTTTTTGTCTAAATATGTTTGTCAGAAGCTTTAAAGAGCCTACATCTCTCCCTCTTCTCACCCCCATCATCTTTTTCAAATAACTTATTTCTTGGGGAAAAATGCCACTTTTATTTTGCTAACAGAAAACTCACTACTTTCCAATTCCATTTAATCCCACCTTCTTATTCATGATAGTTCACTGAAAGGAGTATGTACATATGTGTGTTTGAGGGATGTCACTTCATTGTGGCTGTGACAAAAAAAAAAAAAGATAGAGTGAGTGTCTTCCTTCCCCTATAGAAAATGCAGTTTTTTCAGGTGTTATACTTCCTTACAAACAGTAAGGTTTAAAAACTAAATTTTTTAATATCATGGAAACAACCACCTTGCATCTCCCCCTACTGATAAATTGTAGTGGCATTTAACAAGGCAATGTCTGATTTTTGTGCTGTATTAAAAGGAAAGGTCATAGTTAGCTGTGTATATAAAAAACTGTGTTTAAGTCTCTGCATGCAGCCATTTTTATGTAAAGTTAGAGCTAAAAGGTGCTTCAGCCATGGGTGAAGTGCTGTTCAAAGTTATCAGCCTTGCCAACTGATTAATTTAAAAATAATTTCACTTCAACTCCATGTAATAACAGCAGCTTTCATTTTCCTTTACACACACACATCACATGTCCTTCACCTTAATGAAAAACACCTGAAGGACTTAACTGAAAAGACATGAACACTTAGTAAAAGCTAGCAAGGCTTGTTACTCCTGATTTCATACTATGCCATGAGAGCTCTTTTCAGACACTGCCTGTGGAAGGAGTGCTGTGAGTTTGTTGCCTCAATCAGGTGTAAAGAGCAGTCTCTAATGCTCGCACTGGGGGAAGCCTGAACCTACCATTCCATAAACCAAACAGTTTCTTATAGGCTTGTGGAATTATTATTTATTTTTTTAAAGCAGTTGTCCTTCAGAGAGAACTTTAGAGCTCGCTCTCTCTTTCACAAGCAGCTTCTTGATGAGATGGCCTTTTGAAGGACCTCGTCCTTGGATGCTAGGTGAAGGGTAGTGAATGCAGAGCAAGCACAGGCATTCTCCAGCTTCATTACAATGCCATCAGATGGAACAGGATGATCTCCATGTGCCAAACTGAAACGTTATTGAATTAAGTCCTCAGCTGTCAAAGGTGTAGTGCCTGCCTCTTGGCTTTTGCAACAGAAAACTGTGTTGCTTCTACAGCATAACAGCTTTTTAAAAAAGCAAAATCTGTATGATTTCATGTAAAGGGTTAAACTCTTAAATTTGCTGATGTCTTCTAAACAGTAAATTTCTGCTCTGACATGTTAGAAGACTAAAGAAAATAATAAAAATAAATTAAAATCCCCCTGGGGAGATTGTCTTTGCTATTCCAAATAAATAATGTATGCCACCAAACTGAAATACTATATTGAAAAATTGAGACTTTCTGTTGGTTTGCTATATTTTCTTAGGGAAATATCATGTGGATCATTGTTTCACCTTCTTAAAATATTTTGCAGTCTTACGCTAATTTTCTAATATTTTCCACTTGAAAAAAGACACTATTGAGTGCTTTAATACATTTCCCCTTAAGAGTGTATTTATTAGGGAATATTTTCAAGTGAAATTTCCCACTAATAAAAGGAGTTGGAAATTCTTAGTAAATGAAATTGTTGTAGCCATTTAAGTTCAATTGTAGCCCTGTCATAAGATTAACATGAATGTGTGCTGATAGCGCAGGGGGAAGGGCTTCAAACTGAAGTTTGGGCAGGTTTAGATGAGATGGTAGGAAGCAATTCTCCCCTGTGAGGGTGCTGAGGCACTGGCACAGGTTGCCCAGAGAAGCTGTAGCTGCATACTCCCTGGAAGTGTTCAAGGCCAAGTTGGAAGGAGCTCTGAGCACCCTGGTCTTGTGGAAGGTGTCCCTGCCCGTGGCAGGGGGGTTGGAAGTAGATGATCCTTCCAACCCAAACTATTCTGTGATTAGCATATTAGTCAGAACAAGCCTGAGTTTCAATACTGAATTGAGGTGTAGTTACAATACAGTTCAAAAGACACTTGCCTAGCCCTAATTCTGTGTATTGATACTTGGAAAAATTGGAATGCATTTGATCCTTCTACTGAAGGGAGTTATGCATTTGGAGTCATTGATCACATCAAATATTGTAATAATATTGGCATATAGGATACTGTGGTGGAAGAATATACTTGATAATTGTCTTGAGCCACATGTCATTTAGGGAATCATGAATTTATAGGATAATTCAGGTTGGAAGACTCCTCAGTAGGCCACTTTATCCAATCTCCTTCTCAAAGAGCATGACTTCATTATTTTAATTATCATTCCATGATAATTCATGGTTTGATTCAAATTACAAACTAAACTAGACAGACAGTCCAAGACATTGTCTTGAGATTGGGGCAATGAGATAGAGGATTGAGTTTATATAAAAGGTTGCATTTCTCACCTGTGAGAACAGGACATCTAAGTTCTGTTACAGGGGAAAAAAAAGGGGCGAAACATCAAGATCTCAGACAGCACAGGTCTGTGCATGGTGTAGTTAAGAGAGAGCCTAATAGTAAAATTCTAAAATGTGCAATGTTTGGACATTGCCAGTGAACTGTGACTGGAAGAGGAAGGATATTAGAACTGGTTGCCAGAATTTCTTTTTTGCTGAAACTAATCCTCAGCTCTCCAAAATGACTTTGCTACTACAAGTCAGTTTCTATTCATAGTCATTTGATAGAAGTGATTTTAAAATCTGTATAGAAGAACACTTAACTGAATGGGGAAGAGAGGGGGACCAGACTCTTCCCTTATGGGAAGTGTCAAGAATACTGTGTAATTTTCAGTTAAATCATAAAAGCTCTCAGAGTTGTGATGTAACGTGGTAGGGATTTGCCATGACTTCTTTGCACCACTACCTTGTTTTCAAAGCAGCTCTTGAGTCAGTGTATTTATTAAGTTCATTTTCTATGTCACTGTGTTACTCTGCTATGTCAGGACCTAGATCAAAATGCCTGGGAGTTTGTCAATCAGTGTTTTTTTCTGCTTTATCTAAATTTGATAGAGAATTTTCCAAAGAAAGAGAAAAAGCCAAGGCCCGAGGGGACTTTCAGAAGCTACGTGAAAAACAGCAGCTTGAAGAAGATCTGAAGGGCTATTTAGATTGGATTACACAGGCAGAAGACATTGACCCTGAGAACGAGGAAGAGGCTGATGAAGAAGGCAAGAGGAACAGTACGTATTCTTTACTCTCTACTACTTCTGTGGGGACAGTTTGACCGTTTCTGAGGGCATATGCTGGGGTGAATGCAGCGTGTCCAGCGGCACTTTCTCATTTCCAGTTTGCAAAAATGTTGGTTAGCAGAGCAATTCTGTCCATTAATATAGTGATGCTGTGTCCTGGAAGATAGTTTGGAATCTTGCAACAAAATTCTGCTCTGAGATATCCATGTATAAATCACTGTCTGCATTCAGTCACTACTGAGACTGATAAATGTGTGTTCTGTTAAAAGTTAGGGCATGAAAGTTGTGTCACCAATCCTTAGTCAAGAAGAGTATGTGTTTGCCTGTAGGTGCATGCAATACACAGTCAATAAATAACTTTGTGCTAACAGTAAGGATTTTTTGGAGTGTTGAAGTGTGGAAATGGCATCCTGGATCTTTCTAATGATCAAGAAAGCTATATAAAATCTTATTTACTAGGTGTTTTAACTGAGTGTGAAATAAATGGAGTCTTGTGGGATTTGTCTTTTGACTCTAAGAAATGCCACTTCCATGTGATGTATTTATTTTACAGTAGTGTATAATGTGTTATAGGATAGGTAATTTATGCTGTAGTGAACCAGGAACAAGTCAGTTTCATGATACTTCAACAACTATAAGAGTTGTAATTGTTTTCTATGTATCAGAAAATTGTAGTAACAGCAGTATTTTAATGTCAGGATTCAGTAGAAGTTATTTTAGCCTCTTTGCCACATTTGCATAGTACTGGTTAAAATTTTCATGAGAAGTTTTAAAGCTGCACATAAATAAGAACACAGATTCAGGATGTGGTTTATTATTTAATACTAAACCTAAGATTAAAGTCCAAATTTAAATGTATATACTACTGCTAAATAGCACCTGTTATTAATGTCATACTCTGGAAAGTCATAGTATTTATTCTTGTAGATACTATTGAGTATTTTTAAGGAAATACATCTATGAGTGGTTTGTCAAAGAGAATTCAGAATAATTTTTTTCTGTGTTGAAATAATATATCATTACCCTTATTTTTCTTCTAGTGCTGCAAACTTATTGTAAACTGTTCTTTTAAACCATAGTACTATTCAGATGTAGTAAAAAAATGAAAATTATGTGGTTTGATATTGCGGTATCTGTTTTTAAACTTATCTTTGTATTTCATGTAGTTAAATATGCCAAAATCTTTGTTTCTAAGTTTCAGAGTTCTATTAGTTCAAAATAAAAGCAGGTTATGGACCTGTGTTACTGACTGGAAGGAAACAATAATTTTATGAGAGGCTGGAGGGCAACTTGTGGCTTGATGTTGATGTTACCATCACCTGGAAAACAACAGTTTATTTCTGTATGAAAATCTGTGCACAAATAGTTATTTTTATCTAGAACAGAGCACAAGAGCCAGAGTTCACTCTACTTAGTTATTGCTACTAATGTTGTGTAGAAGGAATACATAAACTGTGGGTTTGAGTATCAATATAAAATCCTAAGATCGAAAAGTAAAAGATGGCACATTTTGTGGAGTAAATACACTTTGTACAAGGCTGCAGTGCAGGATTGTAGATTCAAATAGATGCTGAATTTGTATAGTGTTGGACCACCATGCTGTCAGTTGTGGTGCCAGTGGACTTGGTTTACAGGTGAAATCCCAGGAACTTTTTGCATCCTGTTCAAATTAGGTGTTTGTTAATAGCCTGCAAAAAACCTCATTTGCTCTAGTATTCCTTAAACAGCCTCTAGGTCATACAGATAAAAAATACTTGTTTGCATAGCTGTTGAGTTTGAAAGAGATTTTAAGTTTAACTGTTAACTTAAGCATAATTTTAGGGTAAGTTAAGGGTTGTAGAAGATATGCAGAGTAAAAATAGAAGGAAAGTAATTAAAAGAACTTAGAGAAATGCCGAGAATTTAATTTCAGGTGTTCATATGTGTTTTGAGTGGGAATTTCCAATGAATAGGCACTCCTCTGGGTTTGTGCACATGTGCTTAAATACATGGCTTGGAGTTTCATTTTTAATATCAGCTGCAACAGACTGTAAAGGAGGAAGAGTTGCTGAGTTTCTCCAGCTCCTTGCACTCCAGACTTGAGTTGTAAGCTTAGGAAATAAATTTAGTCCAAATATACTGGTGATGTTTTTCTCAAGCTTTCTTTGAAGCATAAGGTAAAGCTGGGTCCCAAGACAGAGCAATAATTTGCAGGCTTCTAGGCAGCTATGTCCCTACTTTGGGCGTCTAAACCTCTGGCTGAGCAAGATTACTGCTAATTTATGGTGAGGGAAGATCACCATAGTGCTCTTAAATAATGTGCAAGAGCTCTGAATTAGGATGCAGAAGACCTCTGTGGCAGGAAAAGGTACAGATTTCAAGGCAGTTCACTCAGTGATTAATAGTTTGTCGCATAATCCTTTAAAATTGTAATTGAGGTTCCTGTAACCCCTCCACCTCCTGCCCCAGCATTTAAAAATTTCTAAGGAGGGAAATCATCAAGTCATTTATTTATGAACCCTATGGATTTTTACACCTCTGTTGCTGATAGTGGGCAGCTATTCTGTGCTGTTGATTAATAGAATATCTTTCAACTCCAAGAATTGTAAATATGCCTTTAGTAGAAGTTGGAAGTCTTTATTATGAACCAATAGCTGGTTACCCTGAAGACAATGAAAAAGCTTCCATTGCCTTCAGAGCATTACGAATTTAGCTCAAGACGCAAAAATCCGTAAGAGGTGAGGGATTTAGCTCTGATTAGTTATGCCGCCGGTGATTTCCGTTTGTTTTGCCTAACCTTGCCTGTGTTGTGTATACGGACACGTTTTTATTTTTTGCGTTGTGACTGCTGCCACCTCCCGTGTCACTGCTGGGATTACATGTGCTTACCCCAGGGGTTACACTGGCTGACTTAATGGAAGACAAGAAGAAAAGCAGACTTAGCTGCTTTGGCCGTTCTTCCAATAAACATGGTAAAACGTGTTCTGGTTTGCAGTTGAACTTTCTTTTGTGCCAATACTGCATTGGATGTGTTAGCTTTCGGGAGCACATATTGTATGCATTTCCTATAGCAAAGGTGTATACATCTGGAGCATGGAACCCCCTGTGCATGCAGTCCTGCTGGTTGAAGTGCATGTTTGAAATAGAGGTGCTGCAGTGCTTTACCTCCCTCAAGCAGAATGTTTAATCCACTCAGGTTTCCACTGAAGTGTCTTTGTCTGTGACTTGCTTATTGAAGCCTAGGTTTTCTTTTTCAGAAGTCAGGTAAACCAGATAAAAATGTATTTTAAATTTAGAAGTGAAGAAATTAAAGTGTTTTACAAGCTTTATAGTGGATCACAGTGTAAGCTTAGAACAGTATGATGATAGTATCTGCTATTTATTTTTAATACATATGATGTAGAATCTTAAAACATAACAAGCTTGTCCTGTATCTTCTTTTGCTTTTGATGGTTTTGTTTCTGTACTTTGTTTTATTCAATTTTTCTCCACCCACCTTGGAGATGGACAGAGGGTTTAGCCTATGATAGTTGTTTTCAAATCTACACTCTTTTAATACTGGCAAACATAGTGTTTTGACATAATCACAATTGCAGTACTTAGGAGATCTAGTTTTAATCCTAGTGTCAACAAAGTTATTCGTTGCTACTGGCTTCCTTGCTGCCCTGGGAATCACTATTGTGGCCCAGGCTGAGGTTGAAAAATCTGATTCAGTTACTTTAGAGAGTCCAGAATGTTAAGTCAGAAATTGCTAGGACCCAATGGACTCATTTAGTACCACTACTGAGTCTGCTTGAAATTATTTGTGCAACTGTTACATACATAATAGCTTACACAACTTTACAGGCTGAAACAGTTTCTCCATAAAAATTGCTAGAAGGTAGTTGCAATTTTTCTTTGGCTATGTATTTCAACACAGCCTTTAAACTAGCAGGTTCAGGTTCTGATGTCTGTCATGAAGCAGCATGGAACTGGCTGAAAACTTGCTGTCATCTGCCTGCAGCGACTGCTGTCTTGCTACTCGTGCCTGACCTTGCTAGTCAAAAGCATCCTCAAGCACATGTGCACTGTCTTGCTTTCATCTGTGTCTTGCAGGGCAGGTATACCTTTTGTGAGCAGGGTTTTTACAAAGTACAAATCAGTGGCCTAAGTCTATTTCTTTCTGTGTTTTTTTAGACTGTTAGGCTGACCTGATTTGCCACTAGTCTACCACTGAATTAGAAAATCCTGCCCTAAATAATTTTCTTTGTATTACCTCTACTTCTATTTCCATTAAAAGTATTCTCAACGTTCATAGTGTCATCCTTCAGGCCATTAAAAGTTCCACATCTGTGGTACAATATTCCCAACATTCCTAGTGTCATCCTTCAGGCTACTAGTGGTTGGTTCAGTGATGCTTCTGTAATGAAGACTAATTATTTGGTCCCCTTCCACTGCTGTGCAGCCATTCAACCTTATATTGTGTTTCCATAGGCTGCCTATAAAAAGAGGGAGCCTGTAAGAATTGTTGTTGATAGTGTCAACATTAAATCTGCACTATGAAAACAGATACCTCGCCATACAACCATGTAGAACATGTTCCAAGCAGTCCCTCCTTATACTGAATTTAGCCTGAGGAGCTTCACAGTCAGGATAGATAGTACCACTTCTGCCTGATGTGTTTTCTGGGCATACAGCAGATTTAGGAAAATCTGAGATGAATTTGCAATGATAATGTTGCCTCTTTGGGGATTCTTTTTTTAATTCTATTTTCCTATTTGCCAACCTCCAAGATTTGGTGTAAAGGATTCAGAAAATCTATGCACTGATTTGAGAAAGAATGAGAACTTTAGAGCTCATGGATTTGATTGGCTGCTACTAGCAGACAGAAGATGACCTTTTTGCAAGGTTGATGTAAAATTTTGTGAGTGTAGTACCTTTCAAAATACCTGTAAGATTCTCTGCAGTGGCCATTACTGAGTAGCTGACTAGCTGTGCAGATCACTCCACTTCTGCAGCACTTTTGCCTCAGCATGTGTAACTAGAAAGCTGCCCTGGGTGCATCAGTGTGGAAATGAGATCACCCTGTGGAGCAAAAATGCTCAGCTGAAGTTGAAACAGGTTAAAATACTAATTATATACATTCTAGAGGAAAACATTTCTAACAATAGTACTTGCCACCACAGTTCAGTAATTCAGATTGTGATTTAGCTTGCTGCTGGATTCTACGGTGACACTAAATTGTCATATTGCAGGATTATGGAATTTATTGCTTCTAACCCCAGCTGGCTAGGACACATCACTGCTGATGGACACTGGCTGTTCTTTGCTATGCATTGGTTACATTATGTCCTGGAGTGGGGTTTGAAATCCCTGCTCCTAAGTCTGAAAACTGTTTAGAGTAAATAGTGAATATAATAGATTGTTTTTCTCATTTTGTATTCTTATACACAGAAATAAAATGTAGTACTTGGTATATTTGACCTATTTACTGTATACTCAGGGAAGAATTAAGCTGCATGCTGTATGAGTTGCTTATATTGCCTAATGCAAGCATTTTTCTTTTTTTTGGAACCAGTTACCTTAATTGAAGATGTTATTAGATCCAGAAATCTAAGTAATCTTTGCAGAAGAAAGCCAGTAAAATAAGGGCAAAAGGTGAATAGAGAAAACTTGGTTCCTTCCTTTGAATACGGGAGTGCCAGTTTAAAGATCTGAAAACTGGCCATGCTGACATCAGGAGGTGTTTCAAAAGTTCATTCTGTGTGCTGTATTTTCTCATGAACACCTTCTGCCCTTAAGATGCTGTGGTCATGAAATTGAGTCTTTTGCAGACTTGCCAGGTTGCTTGCATTAGCAGAGTGGATGTGGACGTGCAGTGCTGCTGCTGTTTTCTTCTGGCTACAGATCTAATGACTTGCTGGCATTGCTGGAGCTGGACTTCCAAATGATGCCTTTCTCAGTCCTTCTGTCAAGTTTTAATTTTGACATATAAATTATGCTGTAATGACAGCTGAGCTTCTAATGTGATCTCAACTGTCTGTGGTTCTTTTTTTACTCTTCTGTGTTTGTAACATAGCACCTGCAAGTCACTAATAGAGCTAGAGCAATAGCCATGTCAGGGCTGAAACAGAGTAACATCTGACTGTTTTTAATAGTTTTCAGAACTGACATTCACTTCAACAGGGACAAAGACTTTGTTTTTCTTCACACAGTCCTGTTCAAAAAGGGCTGCTATTTCTTACTGTGGACACATCACGTCTGGGTAGGCTTGAATTAAAATTATATTACTTCGCATTTACATGCTAAATAATTATTAGCATGTAAATTAATTTTAAATAATTACAAAATAATATTAAATGTAGTTTCTGTGAAGCTGAGTGACGCTTTTTGCTGAACTGGATTGTAGGTATTGCTTCTAGGGAAGGGAAGGTTTGATTTGGAATACGAGTATGGGACACATTGCACATATGTAAGAATTACAAAAGTGGGCTTAGCTCTGTTTTCCTGTCAGCTCTTAATAACAGTGTATGAAACAAGACGTCTGCACTCATATTTTGCAGTTGTCCATCACAAGGGCTGAAATGTGCATTATTAGGTGACTGTCATGCTGTGTTTCCTTGCAGCATGCAAGTCACCTGGCACAAGGGAACCAGTTCAGTTCTTTATGAGACAGGGAAACACCTTGCATTTCTTGCAAAAGACCCTGGCATTTTAAAATAAAAAGTCTTAGTTCTGAAGACCTGAGACAATGTTTGAAATACTTTTGTGATTTTTATTTCCTTTAACCCTTTGAAATTTTTATAATTAAATTTGGACATCAAAGATTTTTTCTTTACTTTTGAATGAATTTCCTTTTGAACTCTGACTGTAAGCTCTGAAGTTCATTCAGGACTAGTAGTATTCATCTTTTAAGACTGATTTATAAGGGGAAGCATGATATTGGAATTGAGGCACTTGCAGGTGCTAACCAAAGACTTTGCATATATAAAACAATTACAGTAATATTTTAAAAGAATCATCAAAACAGAAGAACCTCGTGAAAGAAGGTTTTGCTGTGCTTACTGCCTGAAGTGCTTTGTTTATTCAAACACCTGCATGGACATTTTGGATCTTTCTTTGTTATGCCACTCGGTTTAACATATATAATGGTGACTTGTATTTATGGGGACAGATTCTCAGCTGTTGCAAATAGTAGCTGAGCATCTACCCTGCATTGATCTGTCAGTCTCACAGCTTGGATGGAATTGATGGGCATGGAAACCAAACCAGCATTTTCTGCTCCTGTGTCTCTTTATGTCAGTGTTAAGGCAATACAGAGGCTGTGCAGAGAACATTTTGTACCAGATTTGTAGACAAATCAGAAAATTCACGGCTTGATTCTTGAGTCTCACTTGCATTGTGAAGTGTGTAATTAAGGCTGCTTTAAGACTCCTTTAGGCTACCAAAATAGCTATCAGAAGTAGGCACTGAGCCCTTCTGCCTTCAATACTCTCAGTGCACAGACATTGGCTTAAACCATTCCCCACAACACAAACAAAATAAACCAAACAAGCAAACATCAAAACAGTGGAAGGTACACCCCCAGAATATCTTTGGAATGCTCTCTTTTTCTTTTGTTCTTGCTGTTCTGGAGTAATTTCGTGCATCTTCCACCTCTCTGAATTTTTCCTACTTTAGGTGATGTTTCTACTGTGCAGACCAGCAACAGTAATTTTACCCTTTTCTTTTTCCTGTGGTTTTCCTTTCATGCTTGCCTTGCAGTCATGAAAGAAGTGTACTGAGAACTTTGGCTGTTTATCATTTCCTAACACCTTTTGACATAAGGTGTCCTCCTTCTTTATTTCAGTTGATTTGAAAATAAATGGTGATTACCCATCTGCAAATGAGTTTTGTTGAAAAAAAATTAGCCACAATTGCTCAGTAATGATCCACTGTATGTACAGTAATTGACTGTATAACAAATGTAATCATCCCCTTTTTTATCAGTAGAAATTCTCATCATACCTTGTAGTACCCATTCTGCCATTCCCAGTGCTCCTTTCTGCTGCTCACACAGTATTTGCAGGCACATTTACTTTCTAGCATCTTTCCTTAATGATTCATAATGTCAGTAAAAGCAGAGTGGTCAGTATGACCAGAGTGTGATAGTTCCTACTTTCAGAAGTTTGATGATATTACTTGGAATTAGCATGCATTTTAACAACACTTTAAACACCTCCAAAGTGCTAACAAACACTGCTTAACATGAAAGGTCACAAAATCCAGCTCAGGTTGATTTCTTTACTAGGGGTAGCATGCTCTTGGTTACAAACCTCCTCAACTTTGTATTCTGTAGTGCATTGTCAATGATTGCATTGAATCATTGAAAAGAAACAAGCTACCATACACTCTGGAGTTCTGTGTGCTTTCTTTGGGGTAAGAGGAGGGCTGATGAAGTGCCTGACTTCATCTACTACTCCTCAGGTCTTCCAAGCTCTCATTAGACCTGTGAAAAGTGGAGGCATTCTTACCATGGAACAGGATATCATAGTGTGTGTGATACCTTGTTTGGTGATGAAACTAAAGCAGTTTGTGTCTCCCCACAGCAAGCATGCCCACCAGTGAAACCGAGTCGGTGAACACAGAGAACGTGAGTGGAGAAGGGGAGACCCCAGCATGCTGTGGAAGTTTATGGTGAGTACACGAATGGTTTTCGAGTACCCACACTCACCATCTCAAAATTTAAAAGAATCATTCTTTCTCCATTGTGTATTTACCCAAAACCACTTTGAAATAGTCAAGCTTTGTACGATACTTACAGGGTTTTTTGCCTTTCAGTAGTTTAATAGTAGAATGATTGTTACAGTGTTAAAGGACTCCTAAAATTCTCAAGTTAGAAGATGGAAAACAATTCAGCTAAATGTAGCTGAGTCATGTTTTCCTGACTCTTTCCTGAAAGCTTTTCAAAAATATAGTTATTGTCCAAAATTATAAGAAAAGAACATAAGTTCCTCTTGACATGTAAAAAAGAAATGTTTTCCGTTAAATTGTGCTTGGCCTGGAGAATGTGTTTTGGGTTTTTTTTAGGCAATAACTGAATGTGTGGGAATATTTCTATATCCCGTGGTGTTCACTATTTGTTTGTGCAGATTCTAGTGACTTCCAAGCAGATTTTACATGTTTGTTCAAGGTTTATTTGCTGAGTTTTAAAGGAGGTTTCCTTTCCTTCACTTAGAAAATTGGTGAAGTTTTCAGAATGTTATTTCAGAAAATAAGTGTCAAACAGTAGAGTTTCAGCATTCATGATGCATTTTGTTAAAAGCTTATTTTATGTATATGTAATTCCAATGCAAAATTCTAAAGAAAGTTAATTTGTGTTAATTATTTTTTCTGCATTCTTAAAAATGTGTTTTCCTTTTCTTCCAGTCAAACCATCTCAAAATCCAAGTTCAGGTCAGTATTTTCTTCTCATAATACCTTCTTTTCCTTGGACTATTCACACATCATGATGATCTCATAAAGTTATTCTTAATTTACTGTACTTTAAATTTTATTGTGTGAAAATGTTTTCCTAACAATTACTAGTGAATATAAAAAGTAAAATATCTATGAACATGCTTGGAAATCAAACTCCCTGATTTGCTTTGCCAATATTTGTGGCTCTTTTTTCACTTACTAGGAGCATTTAAGGATTTGAACTACCATTTTCAAGTGCTGTTGCAGGAGGGAAGTGTTATAAGCAAAATTAAGAATGAATAGTCCAGTACAAAACTAGTAGCCTTCTTTATTTTGTTTTATTTTCCCGTGTTATAGGACATAGATTTAGGAATTAGAAATGGTAATTGCAAACACAGAAGAGATACCCCTTCCCATTTAAAAAGGTTAGGTTACTCCACAAAGGAATAAAAACCAACCAAAAGCTCTGTGATTTCCGGTAAGTAATCAAGTGGGTAACTTACTGAATCATAAAGGGCAAAGATACTCCTGCAGTTGCAGACAACCCACAGGACTTATATTTTTCGCATAAAATTTTCAGTGAAAAAAAGGGTCAGTCAAGAAGATGTGGTAACATCTGGCACCAGCAGTTTTGACAACATCTGGAATAATTTTTTAAACCTGGAAAAACTGATTTCGGTGTTGGATGTAGAGCAAGTTATTCATTGGTATCAGCTGTGTATTCTCCTTAGGTTTGCTCTACTAGCATTACTAGCACTAGTGACCTACCAATACCAACCAGTTGCAAGCAGCTGTGGTGAACTTCTGAATAGTCTGTTTTGAAGAGCTCCTGGGCAACAGTGAACTGGTGCTTTTCTACACTGAGGTTTTTTCATGTGATACGATGATCAAGCTTTATTTTGTTGTTCCTGTGAGCAAACTGCTGACAGCATATAAGGTGCCTCACTCTGAAGACTGTGGCCAGTGGAGGTCTGGTCATTTAGGATCGTAGCATATAACTAACATTTTAGAAGTTTAATCATTAATTATAATAACTTGATCATTTTTATATGCCTTCTACTACAGCAGTTGACCTTAGCTACACCATCTGAATGGACCAGTTATGTCCATGTGGACTTTGAAGTTAACCCTTCATGAGAATTATGAGAGAGGAAACTACTTTTAGCTTAATAAAGAGAAGTGATTCAGTGTGCTAATGGTCTGTAATTTCTCTTGCCATTGCTTCTAGTTACCATAACAATAGAACGATTTGAACAATTCTTTTAGTATTTCATTAGCTGAGAATCCCAAATGAGCATGGTCATTGCTGTGAAGCCTACTTGTGCTAGTTTTAAAGGAAAAACTTGAATATGAAGTGATTGCATGTAATTTCAAATAGCAGGCAGTGCAATAGGCTGCCATTGTACTACATTCCCCAGGTCTGGTCTGTTTGCACAGTGAGGACTCATAGAAGCCTTGCAGAGAAAGTAGAGTAATGCTTACATTCTGAACTATGCCTATTATTGTTTTGAGGAAATAGAGAACTCCAGAATCTCTGTTAAATGGAAACTGCTCTGTCATCTTTCAGAGAGAAAAATTTCTACCCAAAGCTGATGTTTTTAATAGTCCAAGCAGAAAGATGCTATCCCTCTCTACACTCAGTGTTCATAATAAACAAATCAATTTGAAAGCAAACTCATTTGCTAGCCAGCAAGCCACCAAAGTATCTCTAGCTCTCTGGATTCTGCCACTGTCCTAAATGTCTTTTGCATGAGCTCTTTGAGAAGCTGTTTGGTGGCATTAAATATCACAAGTCATATAAGTTCATTCAGATATGTATTGCTGCATGTCTCCACAGAATCTGTGGCAATTGGCAGTGGGATGTTTTTGTCTCTCACTTGGAAGTGCTGCAGGGGTCTGCAGATACTTAAGGTCTTCAATCATGCTTAAACTTTTTAAGCAGAACTTGGCAATGGGATTTTCCTCTTGAACTTTGATGTCATTACTTGTAGTATTGGAGAAAGATCTACCCCTTTTAACTTAATGAATCCCTGTGAGTAGTAGTTTTGGGGCAACAGAGCTCAAAATTACAGTTGTACCATTGTCTTGCAAACAGTTGTGGCTTGTACCATGTTCTAGGTCCCTAAAAACACCTGACAACACATGTTATCAGAGAAAAAGCTCTCTGAAGACCTGCTGGCTCTGTAATGCCACTGAGAACAGAGTATTCTTGTATCTCTGTCAGGATCTGCAGTCCCACAGTTCTCATCCTGTTGCTTCTGGATATTTACCATTTCATGTTTGAAAAATAGAATAGTTTTCAGGTTTTTCGTTGGAATCACTAGATTCTACAAAGCTCACGTTTGCCTGAAATCTAAGAACTCTCAATTCAGCAGTAAAGCCCTAGGTTAGGTGCTCAGCTCAAGGATGTCCTAGCACATTCTAATCCAAATTGAAAATCTTGGTCTAATTGTTGCTCTTTTGGCCAGATCCTTGCTCCACCTTCAAGAATGTTGTTTTGCAATGGCAGTACTGTGTGTTTCAGCACAAAGTAAATGAGGACATGCCTTATCAAAGATACTGTTTTGACTGTAAATGTCTTTGCCTTTGGATCAAAATAGAAAATGCTGTTTATTGCAAGCTAGCCTACGTGCTGTACTGCAAGTTAAAGTAGAAGTTAATCCTGGAAAAATGTTTCTATACAGTCAGATGGGTACTTGGTCAAGAGGTATAGCAATTATCTGCAAGTTTAGTAAATGAAGGTGTGTATTAACCACACATTGTGCTGAGATATATATGGGCCAGTATGATCTGTGCTGCATATTTGTCATCTTCCAGGTGGAACTTGAAATGTTTTGATACTAGAACAACTGGCTTTTCTCTTCACCTGGCAAGGACAGAGCTATCATTAGGGGAAGATTGGGATCTGATGGTTGAAGAGATTTGTGTGTGTTGTCCTCTATGAAGATCCCTCTTTTTAAGCATTCATTTCCTCCTTTATCAGTATGGTTATATGACCACATCAACCTTTGAGTCATGCTGAAAGGCTGGTACTATTCTGTGAATCATGTGACTACAAAAATGCGAAGTGAAAATATAATCTCAGAGGCTTCTATTTTTTCATAATGAGTGAGAGCTCTGGTGCACTTCTTCTGTCTCAGGTTTTACAAAGAAGAGCAGTGGAGTCCAGGGTCTCTGGACAGGTGTTAGCACTCACAGCTACAGAAGAACTCATTGTGGGCATAAACATTTACTCCTCTGTGAGCTTACTGGTGAAAATATGAGGGACAGCAGTTTCGCAGACACAGGAATTACGTGTGTGGTTTGAAACAGAAAGTGCAGTTTAGAAAAGCAGCATGTTCTAATGAAAGGCTGCTGATGGAAATAATCTGAAATGCATGTTCCTACCTCTGTGTAGGTCAGCTAGAAGTACACAAACACACATAAATAGCAACTGTGCAAACTAAATTTCAGTTTCTGTGTGACTGATTGACACTGTGTTCTGTCAGACTCTAAGGCTGGATTTCCTATGTGTGGATTCAGATTTCAGACTGGGACCTAAAGGACCACCTAAATATGAATACCTGAGTGAATGAAAGGGAAATTTGGAATGTGTTTGTAAGAATAATGATTTGCTTATAAATAGTTATGAAGAAAAAGCGTTAAATTATTTAATGAGAAAAAAAGTAGTGAATAATATGGTTTGTTCTAACAAAGTATGTCAACTATGTGTCCTCTGGGATTTTCATATTTATTTGGCTGCTCTATTTTGTGAAATCAGGTCGATAATTTCATGAAAGCAATGTTGTGTTATTGAAAATTTATGAAATTGGAATTTCTCTTCAGAATATAAGGGTATGTTTTGTTCATCCTGAACAAAAAAATTAGGCTATTTTGTTAAAACTAGGAGGGGCAGTTACTAAAAAGTAGAAAACTTTGCAGTAAAAATAGTCTAATTTGTTTTCCTGATTTATGTAGTCACAGGTTTTCCTGAAAAACAGTCTGTCTACTTCAGTCTGCTATTTACTGTTTATTTCTTTGCTTGTACCAATCTAATGAAGAAATTTACTGCTATTTCCCTTTATGAATGTTTGCTTTATTTCTGTAGGCTGTTTAGATATGTTCATGGTATTCATGCATATTCATATGTGCACCAGTTATATATACTTTATCGTCAGTCATTTCACAGACCTTTTTGGGGGAAAGAAGGGCCCATTGGCTCCAGAAAACTCAGAGTTACACTGTTTGAGCCTGTTACAGAATTAGACTGTTTGAGCCTGCTTTTAACTCCCATGGATAGAGATATCCAAACAGTACTATTCTTGTCTCATTGAGTTCAATAGTAGGATGCTCTGTAAGTGGTAAAAAAAAAAGCTCTGTTTAACTTACCCAGGGAGTGAGCCCTGTTGATGATGGCCATGGTCATAGCCCTTCTAGCAGGGGATTGGCAAGATAAGAATGTTCTTGAATACCACGTTGATTTAGATCAGGACAGGATATTTTTCCTTTATATGGTTATACTGCAGAAGCTTGAAACATCTTTGTACTGATATCTGAAACCAGTACTAATTTCCATTAGTACAAGCAGAAATTTAAGGTGCTTAGGGAAAACTCAGTTAATGCTTGAAAACAGTTCCCAGAAGTAAAGCTGGAGAGTCTGAAGTTGTACCCACATTTGTGAATCCAACTCATGTATAGGTAGGGCCTCTACTTGTCCTTTGTTGTCACTCTGATTTATTTCAGAAGCATTTTGCCCACTGACACAATTTCAACACACATCAGTAGAAATCTCTAGGAGCTGCTGACTTGAGATTTCTAGTCTTATAGGGTAGATTTTTCTAAGAGTTGACCTCAACATTCCTGCCCTGTTTAAGCCTGCCAGAACTGTGTCTGTGGTTTAACTCAAAGTCTACATTTTCAGACTAAATTTATTTTGAAGTTGTTTCACTGGCTTTTTGTTGTTGCTATTAGGTGTATGGGGGTCTTGGAAAGACAAATATATCCTGTTATTCAATGAAATGTTAGAAGCAGCTTAATCTAATTATTTTACAGGTAATTAGGCTCTCCAAAGTTACAGTTTACAAAAGGAGTAACAAGCAAGAAGTCCCTAATCTGAAACTGGTAATAATATATACAGCTGTTGAAGTACTGTACACATATTTATGAAGATACACCTGCCCACACATACCTACTTGCACTGTTTTCTACACAGAAGAAACCCTCCTTAAGTTCATTTGTGTTTGCTGTATAATAATACATTTGTTTCTATTTGAACTTTCAGTCGGCGCTGGCGTCGCTGGAACCGATTTAACAGAAGAAAATGTAGAGCTGCAGTAAAATCTGTCACATTTTATTGGCTTGTTATTGTCTTGGTCTTTCTGAACACGTTAACTATCTCATCGGAGCATTACAATCAACCCGACTGGCTGACCCAGATCCAAGGTACAATCAAAAATGATTTGTCCTGGTTTTGACTATGGGTACTTGCATTTTCTCAGTGGTTGCTTTTGTACTTTGCCATTTTGCTGTTGTTTTCTGTCCTGAAAGATACTTAGCCCAGCCAAAGGGAGCTACAAGAAATGACTCAATGTCTGTGATTTTGACAGCTGTAACACAGCTTAGTAGCATACTAGCACAGACCTGACAGTATTAAATTGTAAATGTCTGTACTTTTGTCATAAAACCATGCTTGAAAGGTGAGGAAGGAAACAGTAACTGGCTCAGCAGAACATGTTGTCTGGTTGCTTAAGTTATGGTGTGGACACAAGCTGTGAGTTGAGCAGCCATGAACTGTGTGGAAATAATTTATAGGTGGTAGGAAACTATTTCCTGTGTAACTTTTGCCGCTTAGACATCAACTACAGTCCAACATAAAAAAGCAACACTTCCTTCTCAAGCTGTAAACTAGTATAGAAAGTATAGTAGTAACATGTTAAAATAAAAATGGAATCTATGAGACAATTCAGGATCTTCTGTTTTTAATGTTGTTTTCCAGATATCGCAAATAAAGTTCTTCTGGCTTTATTCACCTGTGAAATGTTAGTAAAGATGTACAGCTTGGGCCTACAGGCTTATTTTGTTTCTCTCTTTAACCGCTTTGATTGCTTCGTTGTTTGTGGTGGCATTGTTGAAACCATTTTGGTGGAGTTGGAAATTATGTCACCCCTTGGAATTTCAGTGTTTCGCTGTGTTCGTCTCCTGCGTATTTTTAAAGTAACAAGGTAAGATTATCTAATACTGCTAAATTCTAAGGATAGCTGAAGAGTGATCAGCAATTCTTTTGTAATACTTCATCATGCACTGCTCTTTTACTGTTTTGTTCGAGGTTTTTTTTGGTGTGTGTTAACACACGCATTTTAATTTATAGGCACTGGGCATCCCTGAGCAACTTGGTAGCATCCTTGTTAAACTCAATGAAGTCCATTGCTTCACTGTTGCTTCTGCTTTTCCTCTTCATCATAATCTTCTCGTTGCTTGGAATGCAGCTGTTTGGAGGCAAATTTAATTTTGACGAAACTCAAACAAAACGGAGCACCTTCGATAATTTTCCACAAGCTCTTTTAACTGTATTCCAGGTAACTTTCTTTCATCCCGTATGAAACATTTGACCTTTGATCAACAAAACTGTTTAGATGATCATGTTGCCTGAAAGTAAAAATCATAAATACTGTTTATTCCGTTTACTTTAGTAGCATTCTGCTCATTAAATTCAGTACTCTGGTAATTCGGCACCATTTGTACCATTTGTTTCATATCTTACTTGATCTATCTATGCAACACAGCTGTCATGTTACTTCACAAAATTAAATCTCCTTTGTCCATCAAATACGTGACTAGAAAAAGAGGCAGAGTGTTATTTTTATTTTTGATCAAATTGTTTTCTTTACCTTCATTATCTATATAAAAGTTCAGCTATTCCAAGGCAGGAAAAAAAAATAGCCATGTAAGTGTGCAGATTTGTATATAGGTTATATCACTTACTATAATATAAAAGCAAGCATTAATTCCTTTAGAGACACCGTTGGGTTTTATTAAAATTACTTGTGAAGAGGTAGGGCCATACTTAGAGTTTACTGATAAGGTGACGAGTCCCTGTTAAAAGTGAAATTGAGTAGACCTACTTGCTGGACCAACAAATGACAAATGAAAGGAGTTGTGGCCACTACTACTTGATTTTCAAGTGATGAATGTTTGCTGGCATTTCTACATATCTGGCATTATTGAAAATCAGGTCTGTTACTTTCACGTGCCAAAATCAATACAATCTGCTTTTTGTTACTTTTCAGTGATATAAATGCGTAGTATAAAATAAAAGCTACTGGAGTTAAACCTAGGCTTTCAGGAGATGCTTGTTCAGATGGAAATTTTAAAACAATGCATGAGAAGAATACAGTATTGCTGTATGCATATAGAAGATTAGCCATATTGTGTATTGTGGTCAGAGGAAATGTGTTTCTTGCACTTTTTGGTGTTGAGTTACTAATAGTCTACTAATATCTGCTTCTCAGATTCTAACAGGTGAAGACTGGAATGCTGTTATGTATGATGGCATAATGGCATATGGTGGTCCATCATCGTCAGGCATGATAGTCTGTATATATTTTATTATCCTCTTCATCTGTGGTAACTGTATCCTTTACACTCACTGGAAACACCTCCAAGTGGGGCTGTGTGCCAGGGACATACGCAGAATCTCTCTAGGTGGGAGTTAAATGGCCAAGGGTATGCAAGTGATTCTGCACGTGCTTAGTCCTTTAAATAGACTTTTCTTTGTATATCTGTTCTGGATGAGAATCAGTGATCTCCAGTCCATCTCCAGCCACCAAAATGGCAAAAACCAGGGAATGTTTTCTTTCTTCCTTCAGTAGGAACGTGGCCTTATTCTACCTGCTCTTTGACATCTGCCCCTCTGAAAATGCTTGAATGTAGTCTGGTCTCTAGGGCAGTAATTTCCCGTTCATCCTTCTGACGCTCAAAATAGCCCTGTTAGTTCTGGCTCATGCTGACAGTGCAGCCTGTGAGCCACTGCATAGTGCAGGGACCACGTGAGAGAAACCTGCACGGAGAGATACTGAGTCAGTTAGGATTAAGTCTGCTGAAGCATTCCCCTTCCCTGCATTCAGTGTACTGGAAATACCTCCTTAGCCCCATGTAGAAACAAACTACTGGCATTCTCAGGAGCTCTTAAAAGGTCAGGAGGTGAGAAAAGGGCAAAAACATTCTATTTTCTGTATGATATGGTATTTGTATCAGTACTTGTAGTTAACTGATACAGACTGAAGTACAGAATTTGATACAGATTGTTGTAGACATGGAAGACATTTCATTATGAAAATGAACTTTTCAAAATGCCTGAGCAGTCTTCACTTATAATAGACAATTTTATATTTGAAACTTGCTCGGGCTAGCATGAAGTTGAATTTTATTTATTTCAGAAAATATGCCAAGTATTCTGCTGTTTTGAAATCTGTGACCCTAATGGATCTCTGCTCACTTTACAGCCAGTCCATTAAATGGGTGGTATTTGCACTACACTCCAGCATCACAAAGCTCCATGCTGTAGGTTGGGAACATGTGTTTTATATCTCTCACATTGTCAGTGTTTATGCTGATAATAAACCAAACAAGTATAGTAAGGCATAATGTCCTTAAAATGATTTGAAATAGATATCTTGCTAAATGTCTTCTTGGCCATTGCTGTGGATAACTTGGCAGATGCTGAAAGTCTGAATACAGCTCAGAAAGAAGAAGCTGAAGAAAAGGAAAGGAAAAAGAATGCAAGGTAAAATAGCATGGGCATGTTGAACAAGAAGGACAGGGAAGGAGGAGGCTGCTGAATTCTTTCTTTATATAAATGTCTTAACCATCTTCAAAATATGACTCAGGAAAAAAATTAGTTTTCCTAGACACTAAACCAAAATCCAAATAGCATGATTTTAGCTGAAAGTTAGGTAGTAATTGGGAAAATGGGGTGAATTAAGGACCTAATGATAAGCCAACTGATATTTAAACATTGCAATAGTAGGATTTATTGCACAATTAGCACAAGAATGTATCTGTTGTTGCCAGTGCACAATTCCCTGTGGAATCAGTTCTCTAAGCCTTATATAGACAAGAAGAAAACCTTGCTTTGAAATCAGTGCAAGCCTGTTGAAGTCAATGAAAGTTGTTTGTATGAGTCCGAGGGCACAGTTTATCCCTCTAGAAAGAAGTAATGATCATGCATTGAATTTTTTAGGGATTAGCTTCTGGAATTGTATTCAAAATTGCAATTTTTTAAATGGATCATTGCATTCAAATGCAGTGGATTTTATTACTCTGACACCTGCAGCTGTGCAAAATATTTTAAATATTTTGCTATAAGGTTTTAGATATGCTCTCTTAACTTTTCATAGAATTAGTAGAGTTGACTTAAAACTGTCTATCATTCCATGGCATGCTCTGTAATTGTTCTTGTGTTGTTTTCTAGAAAAGAGAGTCTGGAAAATAAAAAAATGGACAAGTCAGAAGGTGATCAAAAGAAGCCCAAGGATAGTAAGGTGTTTATTCTAAAAACTGTGTCTTTTCTAAGAAGTAGTTGTACTAATTTTGCTAGGGAGTACTTATAATACTACTGTGCATGGTACTTCAATACTACTTTGCATTGTACAGTTTCTTTTATGAACCCATCATCCCTACATTTTGTCCAGGCAAAGAAAACTTGGTTCTGATGCTTTGCATCCTCACAGTCTCTCTTAATCAGAAAATCCTTTTGGTTTCAGGATATCCTGAGAAGGGAAGCTCTTGGAGAGCAAAATAGTTAATGTTAGAAAAATGTGACATGGTTTTAGGATCCCTGTAGGTATTTTGCTTGATAAATCCAATGAGATTAGTGAATGATAAGTAGAATATTCAAGGATACCAAAGTCTGCTGGTTATGTGCTCATTGTGATCTAATACAGTCACGAAAATGTGGATACTGTAGAAAAAATAATATTTGAAAAATATGTCATAAACTGTCAGCTCTCCTCTGTTCTCAGTTACCCTGTTTCAGAAAGCTTAGACTAAGCATAGGGATCACTTCTGTGACTTTAAGCTATATTCAAATTTATTTTTCTTCTGTACATTCCTTTCATTGCTATAGGTGACAATTGCTGAATATGGGGAAGGAGAGGATGAGGATAAAGATCCCTATCCACCCTGTGATGTACCAGGTATGTGCATACTAGCGAGACAAACACATTTAAGTTTCTTTGCTAAAATATCCTACATTTGCTTTTGCCAAGCGCTGAATCAATTCCTTTGAAGTCAATGAAGTTGTGCTCTGTTTTCAGTGGATAAATGAGCCTGTAAGCTGCTAAGTATTATCTTTTCCTGCAGCTTCCTAAACAGTACAAACAGCATGTGAGAGTTAATTCTGTGAGCCTCAAGACTGTTGTGGTAACACTATCTGGATGCGAGAGCAAATTCTAAACTTCTCTAAAACATTTGGCAAAAAAGGACATTCCATGGCTGATGATGTTTGGTCAATTTTCTTCCAGTCCAGTGAACATACTTATCTAAAAGTCAGCTCTGCCTGATGGTCTGGATGTCTGTTAGAGAAATCTGCCCTGAATGTTTTGAGCACGCAGTGCTCAACCAGTGCACAGAGCTCAACACCTACAGCACAGCTCAGGCATGGACTGACAGCAAAGGGCTGACCTGAACTGGGTCTTCAGAGCCCACATGCAGTGAGTGTGTGGAGACCCCAGATGAGGCCAGTCAAGAGTTGTGAACACACCCATTTGTGCACAACAATATGTATATAAGCTCATGACAACTATGTAGATGTTCATGTGTTGATTCATAGATTTTTATAACCTTACTATTAATATATATTTCCTATAAGCCATGTATATTTTGATACAGACTATGCTTTTGTGTTGTTATGAACAAATTCTCTTTTTTTTTTTAGTTTCTAACAAAAAAATCTTTAAATTAAAGTAGGTGAAGATGAAGAAGATGAGGAGGATGAACCAGAGGTACCAGCAGGCCCTCGTCCCCGTAGAATATCAGAACTGAACATGAAGGAGAAGATAACACCGATCCCTGAAGGGAGTGCCTTCTTCATTTTCAGCAGCACCAATCCGTAAATAGCATTTTGAAAAATACTGGTTTAGTCCATCAAGGTTTAGCAGTGAAGCAACGGATCTCCTTCCAGCCCAAGCTGCATCGCACAGGATGAATAAGTTTTGATAACTTTAATGGGAATCAAATCATACAGAGAGTCTGAAATGACTTATTATCTAGTGTGGGTCCTTTTGACATTGGCCTCTGTATGTGTGCAGTGGAACAAACACTGGAATTTGCAGTGGTGTTCATAACCCATTGAAAACCAACCCCTCACAGATTCCTTTGATCAGTGCATCTTCACTACAGGTGGATTGGGTTTTGAATTTATTTAAATTCTTAGAAATCAGACCAGTAGCTTCAGCATTTTCACTGCTTTTAGCTACTGATTGTTGCTCTGTTCTGTCAGTGTTGGCAGAGTAACAGAAAACATGTTGTATACTAACCATCTGCTGAATTCTATGTACACACATGGTATATTTTTGTATCTTTTTCAGAATTCGAGTGGGATGCCACAGACTTATCAATCACCACATCTTTACCAACCTCATCCTTGTCTTCATCATGCTGAGCAGTGTTTCCCTAGCAGCTGAAGATCCAATTCGCAGCCACTCTTTTCGAAATAATGTAAGCCCTTCATTTTTCTGTCTGAAGATAAATATACCCTCACAGGACAGAAATCCTTTGGGCCTAGTGCTTGGTTTTTAATTTTCATGTTAAGAAACATTCCTTTTCCTTATTCAAGCCGTATATTTATATTCCTCTTGCTTTAAAAAAGGCATAAATCTCTAAAGACAATTAACGTTATTGATGGAGCATCATCAATATTAGAAGTGTTCATTATTTACATCATGTTTTTCCTTTAGTTATAAATATATCAGGATAAAATATGGTCAAACTGAGTATAATAGCTATAATTTTCAGATTTCTTCATACTTTGCAGCTGGAGGACCTGATGAGCATTTCCTGAATCACTCTTAGTGCCTCTCAGTCTGTGACACTGATATAAAAATGCCTGTTAAATTATCCCTGTTAATCACATATTGGGAATAGAATCTGGCCTATCATCTCTTCTTCTTCTTCATTTGTTCTATTATATGGTCTTGAGGCAATCAGAGTATCACTCTGTTAGTGAGTGTATGGATTTGTACTGATATTGCCTCTTCGTTCAAAGAAGTGAGTGTGGCCACACTAAGGAGTTTGAGTACTACCGCGTCGGACTTGAAGATCCTTGGATTCCTGATTGGCCATATCAGAAACTGAACAAGTTTCACTTTTTTTCTAAGCTCACATATAAGAGGAGGATCAGAGCAAGCTCAGCTCTTGCCTTGATTCAGAGGCAAATGCAGTTTTGGCCTATTCACAAACCTGTAGATTTGGAAGTCTTTCTGCATCCTTCTTTAGACCTACTTGTAGAAGCAAAATATTTGTAATGATATTACTTCCAGAATTACTTTTATTATGCAATACAGTCATAGTTTATGTGTTTGAGTAAACATCAGTGTTCTCCCTAAACAAATTCCTGAATCCCCAGTTTTTAGTTCTTAATCTAGTAGGAGACTTGCCTGTTACTCAAATGCACAATTATTAGACAGAGAAATAAAAGTAAATCCACTCTCATGACCACAGTTTTTATTGAACTTGTTGCTCTTGTATCAGTGGTGAAGCAAACCTCTCATGTTATTGTGAGTTGTGCATGCTCTGGTTAGGTTAGGTAGGAAATAGCTGAGATGAAACTATAGTACTGGTTTATGCAGTGTTTGGGGTTACAGAACTTCCAGGCCTCTCCTGTCTTAGATACAAATTGATCTGTTGAGATTGCTATGGGGTTAGAGATGCTCTGCCACCTCTTAAGGGAAGCTGGGCCTGCTAGGTCTGTAGAGGTTGTATCCCTCTAGTTCTTGCTAGTGTAGATGCAAGAAGGACTCAAAGTCCTCTTCTGCCTGTTGTCATTCGCTGAATGTTTTTTCAGTAACTTTAGTGAAAACCAAAAAAGCTAAAACTTTCTTCAAAGGTAAAAAGAGGCCAAAGCACAAAGACACTCTTCATGTACTATTCAGCAGAGCTTTGTGCTTCCTGTATCTATAAAACTGGACTAGTGTAATCTTATGAATAAATCACACTAATGGGTACAAAAAAGGAGCTGATGGGGAATACTGGAATTGTTATTATACAAATGGTTTCAAGGGCTGATAATTGTTTTTGTAACTAGAGGAGCACTAGGAAAATATAAGTGGAGAGTGGTGCTAAGGGAGAGAGTTATTCCTTTTTGAGACACAGACAGAATGTGAGGGATGGCAGGAAGACATTGCCCTCTTGTTGTAAGTATTCTCACATAGCCCAGACCTGCATATATTCTTTTTAGTACCTCAAATGTTCATTTTCCTTCCACCAGACAGCTCGGCGAGGGAATGAAAGCGTACAAACTGGAATGCATTTAAATATTTTATTTTCACTTTAGAATGAATTTGATACTGATTAATCTTTGTTGAATGACTTTAATATTTGCCTATTTTTTCAGCCACAGCAAGGGACAGAAGGATGTGGTCTTCAATGGAATATGGGGAAAAAAAATTTCCTTTTATTTGATCTAATATGAACATTTTCTTTGTGTGTTTTCCCTTTATTTTATTTCAACTTCCCATTTTGTTAGTTGCTGAACCACAGGCAACATATTTCTGTGCACACCTGTTTGCTGTTTGGATTCCTGGATCTTTGAAACTAAACTCTTACCCTGAAATCTGGTTGTACTGAAATATGTCAGTGCACCTGTCGACAGCAGTGAGGTCAATCTCACATCCACAATCCTCTTAGAAGTTTGCATATCCCTATGCAACTGTTGTGGGCTCTTTGAAGTTTTCTACAAATAAATCACTGCAGTGTCTTCCAGGTTCAAGGAAAAGGGTTGTAGTGCTGGGTTTAAGTTATTTAGTTGTTTTTTAATTTGCTTTCTGACACTTTAGCCAAGCCTATACAGGAACAGTATAATGTAGCAGAATGTGGAATGATATGCAGTCAGAAGGATCCACTGAAGTTTCATTTTGTGATGTAATAATCTGGTAAAAAACTCCAGACATTATTAATGCATATTTATTGATTATGATTCTGTGTCACGGCTAAAGCCTGAAGAAAGTATCTGTGAAAGCTGATAGAGGAAAGTTTGAATTGAAAGAAAGTGTTGCTTATTGGGTCCTGTCAATTCTTAAGGGGTGAAATCTAATTCCTAAACACAGTGGCATCTGTTAAATTTTTAAGCAAATGAAAATGGTTGCACAATAGCTGAAATTTTAAACTACTTTGTCTAAATTCTTCATCTCTCTATTTAGATTAATTCAGGTGTTGTTGTGCATGTGGTCTAAATTGTAAAAATTTATTAATAGATGGATTTCTTACTGTGGCACGTGTTATACCTTGCAGATACTTGGTTACTTTGACTATGCTTTCACAGCCATCTTTACTGTTGAAATCCTGTTAAAGGTAATGCATTGTTAATTGATCCTTGTTAGCTCAAAAGCAGCTTTAGCAATAATGTTTGTAACTTTTTGTTTACCTTCCAGATCCTAGGGTATGCAGATTATGTCTTCACTAGTATGTTTACATTTGAGATCATTTTGAAGGTAACAGGTTTTTAAAGGAAGCTTGTTTAAAAGGATTTTCCTTGTGTGTCACCTGCCAAGAAAAGGCACTTGAAGTGTTCTTCGCCTTTTCTCTAAGCGATCAAAGCTAAACTTTTTTAAACTAGAGGATTTTTTTATTTGACACTTCCTCATAGTTTTGATTGGTTATTTTTTTACCATTGGGTGCATGAAGAAGCTGATTTTTTATCATTACATCAATTTAATAACTCATTTTTTACCCTTTTGAAACTTGCAGTTGTCAGAAAAGGGAAAAATAATTCACTGCGCATGAGCTTTTCCTTCTCCTTGCTCTGGCATTTCCAGAAGAGATAATCAGTCTTAAAAGAAGGGAGCATGTAATTTCTCATTTCTTTTGCTGAACTATATCCACAGAGCTAAAATAGTAGATAACTATTTTCTTGCAATAGGACTTGCAAGATATCTTGCATTTATCTATCTATACACTAAGATACTTTGCATTTATCTTGGGCATACATTTAAATACACAGACAGGCATAAATATGCTTGCTTAAATGTATTACCCATGCATGAGCCGAAAAGTGGCATTTTAATGTATAGTTTGTGTACTGATTATTAAGAATATCCAGTGGGGTTACTCAGATTTTCAATGTATGAGACTTACTCTGGCAAAGAAGCTCATATAGCATGCAACAAAATGCTGAACAAGGGAATAAAATTCTGTGTTGGAAATTGGCAAAACATTTTTTTCAGAGATTTGCACATGATACGTAAACGTTTCATGCTGTGCTTATTCACTGTGAGTTTTTGGTTGAGTAACCTTAATTTATACATTTAAAAATTGCTGGCACACTAAGAATCTGTACATAAACTTTGCATTTCCAGTTCAGGATTACGCTTAACAAAATCTCTTCTCCCAGCTTTTGCTCATATTGCTGTGCATACTCTTCACAATGCGATTTGATTAATACTAATTGATGCAATATTTGGGCTGTTTACAAGATAAGCTGTACTGTAAGTAATAGACTATTTTTATGCTTGTGAATTTTCTCCCAGACTTATGTTTATCCTCGTATTTCTCATTTTCAGCAGTGAGGAGCTTGCTATAGAATTGATTATTCTTATAACATATTTGTAGCACGGTAAAATAAATACACAGGCTTTTTGCTGCTAGAGAAAGGCCAAACTAAAGGAGAGAATGAAGCACTGAAAAGAGCTGGAGCATTAGATCAGAGTAGTTCCCAACTCTGAATTTGAGAAGCCATAAAAAATATGTTACCACTATTTCTGTGGCAGAAGAGAGTCAGTAAACTTCCAGAGGCTCTAAGCAGCAGATTTCCTAGCTCCTGCAGTTCCATTTGTGTTTCTCTAGGAGACAGGAATTATAAAGTGTGGCATAAAGAGGCATAACTGATTGTGTTAAGAAAAGCAACGTTCCTGCTAACTGCAAAAGATTTTGGCACTGAGCAACTTAAGGATTATCCAAGGGGAGCAGGAAGCTCTAGAGCTTGGGTTGCTGAAATCTGGCATTGTAAAATGTTACAAGGAAACGAGAAGCCACATCATAGCCAAAACTGTGGATGCTTCTGGCTCCACTTTCTCCAGGAAGCTCTGCCCTGCTGTGCATTCACATGTAAGGGAAAATAAATTGTACTATAAAAATGTAATGGATAGCCAGAACATGACACATGTATGTATACAGTACCTGCTTTACTAACATGTCTCAGACACTGGCTTGGCTTGCTTATGGCTGGAGTCCTCCATGTCCTCTGGGCTGGGTTTTGCGCTGTGCTTTCCACAGTATCTAAGTTGTACAAAAGCTGTGTGTGTTCTGCAGGGAGAGAATTCAAGACTAGATTCGCAGTAACAACAGTATTCCTTAATTTCCAGGCCAAAAAAAAGTATATGAAACTGAAATTAAGATAACCAGAGGCAATATTACCATCTGCAGTGAAGAAACTTGTAAAGGTCCAAAAAACAGGCGTTAAAACATTAATTCTCAGCATGTGGGGAGTCTCCCTGTGCTCTGTCTTACTCTGCAGACACAAGGATCTCCACATTACATGGTGTTGAGTATATGAATAAGGATATAAATAGCAGAAGAGCTGCAACATCAGTTCAAAGCATTGAAGAATTCTCGTATGCAATCCCTACATGACATGGAAATCCAGTCTACCATCCTGTTTGGGGTACCTGAGAAAGGTGAAAACATCAGAGTAAAGGTCAGGTTAGGGCCTTGTGCTTTTAACATTTTCCTACTGTGCTAATCCCACACCATTTGAACGTGGTATAGAAAGTTCTAGGCAAATGCTTCCACTGGGATTTGTGGTGATTGAAGTATGAATCTCCATATGAAGATGGGGACAAATGTACTTCCTCTGTACTTTTAGGGCAATATTTATATATTTTTGTGGGAGTCTTTTCATAAAACTTTTGTGCTCCTAACTGATAACATACTACAGTGTAAATGAGTAGTTGTAGATGGATGAATAGTTGATGGGTTTAGCCATGCTCTAGACAGATGTAAGTAAAAGAGCTAAGAACTTAATGAAAATTTTATAACTATGTTGTGTCTCTCATGCCATGGTATAGGTTAAAGCTTTAGCATTTTTGCTCTTCTAGTTTTGAGGAATATTTAGTATTTTGACAAAAGAAGCTTTACCATGAGAATAAGGAGAGAAGGGCTTTAAAATGCCTCTTGCCTTTGCTGGAAAAGTGCAGCTGCAAAGGAAAGGTATAGCTTTCACTGATGATGGCCTGCAATTTTTTGCACATCAAGTAGTGATGCAGTAGACTGAGATGCCCAGTGCCTTCTAAGTTTTGGAGCAGTCTTGAAAGCTGTAGTAATCTGCTGTAAGGGGAAATGAAAGAAAATCTTTTTATTACTCTTGGAGGAACAAAATAGAATGGAAAGAGTTTAAAATGCACAGTCAGTTTCAGATGTTCTCTAGCTGGCAGTGAGTTTTTTTACCTGTGGCAAACCAATAGTAGCTAATTCGGTCCTCTCTTTAAGAGGACCTTGAGGCTCAATAGAATAGAATCCATATGCCTGAACCGTCTACTAGGTATTTCTCAGAGTTATCTTGATTTTAGTTAAAAGATTTAATTTCAGTCTTAATCCATAACTGTGGAAAGACCCATGCAATACTATATTCAGCTGCTGATTCTGTGCTTCTAATGGCTTAACTGGATCTCTCTGTGTGTTTTTTAACTGGTACATACTTGCAGCTATGATAAGCGTCTACTTCATAGATTTAGGAGCCAAATTCAGCTTTGCGATACCCAAAGGTTTGGTCTGCAGCCATAATTTACAGAGCCTCTATCTCTGGCTCCCAATGAAACCTGCAAATGATGCATACAGGTTCCTTCACAAGATACATTTCGTGTGCTTATTTCATCTTAATCTAGGCACAGAAAACAAAAAAATCAGAGAAAGTCCAACATGGAGAGCAATGTATGATGTTCACCACACAACAGCAAAATTTGGGTATCCTTGTCCACAAAGGGTCCTATCAGTTGTTCTAGGTTATTCCAAGATACCCAGTCATTATCTTAACATGTTTCCCATGAGCCAAAGATAAATAGCTGTGTAATGCTGCCTTAGGACAGCCTTGTCCTGGTTCTGTACCACATTTGACTCTCAGGTGTTTGCAATACATTTTCAGCTCCTTCAATTCTCAAGATAGTGTGAATGATTAGGTGTCAGAATCTGGACCCTAGAGTTTAGCAAGCATGGAAATTTTGTGGGTTTTTTTGTAGTAACGTTTCTAACACAGGCCAAATCTATTCAGTGTAATCACCTCAGCCTTACCAGTTGTTGCACAAAATAAAACATTTGTTGACATCAGAAACAAAGAACACATCTTTTCGTGTTGCTTCAGCAGAATTTTTATGATTTAAATGAAGGATTTAATGTACCTATAGGAGGATTGTTTTATATCTCAATTGCTTTTAGAGAGAGTATTGTATGCATTCACACTCTAGGCAAGTGTCTTGTAAACAGCCTAAATGTGAATTTGAATAAATTGAAATATAGACTAAGCGTGTAACAATTCTATTTTTAGATGACAGCTTTTGGAGCATTCCTTCATAAAGGGTCCTTCTGCAGGAATTATTTTAATTTGCTGGATTTGCTGGTTGTGGGTGTTTCTCTGGTATCATTTGGTATTCAGTAAGTACTATACTTACCATGCGAATGATTTATTTTTGCTTTGGGGTTTTATACTGAAATCAGTATTTCAGCTCCTTTTGTTCCCTCACAGTGTGTGGGTGTGCAGTGTCAGTATTCAGGGTTGGGTCTGGCAAGAGGTAGTGCTTTAAATGGAGAGTGTTGTAATTCACTACTAATCTGGGTTGGAAACAAATTACTACTTCTCACTATTAACAAGAGCCAAGGAAGAGAACCATGACACTGTATCGTATAACAAGTATTTCCTGGAGCTTCAGGAGGATTATATACCTTCTCTCATGCTATTGCCACATCTACAATCTAGTTTTATGCACTTGGTCTTTCAGTATTGACCTACAGGGATGTGTAACTAGACAGTATTTGAAGTGGGGGGAAAAGTTATACCTTAATCAGGACTGCAAGTGGTAGTGAAGAGATTTTTTTGCTTTGTTTGGATAAGACATAGTAAAAAAGTCTAAAGGTGGTTATTGATTCACTGAGCAGTTGTTCCTCATTAAAAATCATCTGTGAAACTCTTAGTCACTTAGAAAAGAAGGTTTGGGTGTCAGGCAACTTCTCCCCACTTTGACCTCTGCTGGTACCAGAAATCCTAATGCATGAGCTTTCAGTTTCACAGTATGTTCTTTAAAGGGCTGACCACTATTATTTCCTCAAAATGCAGTCCTAGGTACTTAAACAAAGAGAATGTAAGTAATTTAAGATCTTTAAGAACTTGTCAACACTGAAATTTACTTTGGGGGCTGTTTTACTCCATTTCAGTGTCAGACAAGTTTTGAGCTGTTAATTTCAAAGTTGCTCCAGGAATCAAAATAATTCTTATGGTATTTATGAGATTTACACTATTTTCTAATGTTAATAAAGGATCAATGCCTTAAAAAATCATGTGTATATATATATATAGAGAGAGGTGTTTTTTTAAATACTATGTTTAAGGAAGTTGCAAGAACATTTTTATTCTTGGTAATAAAATCAGTTACCTTAAAAGTAATAATCACTTTTTTTTCCACCCTAGATCAAGTGCTATCTCAGTTGTGAAGATCCTCAGAGTTTTAAGAGTCTTGAGGCCTCTAAGGGCAATAAACAGAGCAAAAGGACTTAAGGTGTTTATTTTTATTTTTTTAAGCTATATTTCTGTGGGTCTGATTCTTCGGTCCTGCCTCAGGTTAAATGTTTTTACCTAAGAAAAATTGTCTACAGAAGTTCACAGAACAAGGACATAAATTAATTCCTGTTTCTGAATCATACCTGATCTTAACCAACCCAGGTTCTGCCCACGGTTACAGCAATTTGTGTGTGGAGGAACATCAGTGCCACTGAGAGCAGATTTTGACTGTGATGAACCAACATGTCAGTGCAATATTTTAATTGTTTATCCTTAGTGCCTATGTAAATTTTAGTCAGTTGATGTTGACTCTGTGTCAAAAAACTTACAAATTTAGAAAACAAGTCTAACTACTTTATTAGGTATAATACTGACAACACAAAAATGATAATTTTAAAATTTAATATGAGGGTGATAGAATACTTTTATGGTATGTATTTTGTGATATGATGTAAAAAATTGTATTAAAATTTATTTTTTCTTTCTTTCCAGCATGTTGTTCAATGTGTCTTTGTGGCTATTCGAACTATTGGTAATATCATGATTGTTACAACTCTGCTGCAGTTCATGTTTGCTTGTATTGGGGTGCAGCTGTTCAAGGTAAGTAGACACTCCCAGAATTTACATTGCATCAAGAAAAGCAAAGCTGAGTTGAATTCTTGGTGTCTTGCTGCTGGAGCTGGGTTGGTCCCATCTGAACCCATCATAGTATAAACATCTGTATTTTGCATATTCTGCATTTTGTCATTGCTTTTTGTTTTATA